TAAGAGAAGCCAAAGTTGTGTCAGGCCAAAGGCCCATCCAGTCCAACACTCTGTGTCACACAGTGGCCAAAAATACCAGGGGCCATCAGGAGGTCCACCAGTGGGGCCAGGACACTAGAAGCCTTCCCACTGTTGCCCCCTCCCCAAGCACCAAGAAGACAGAGCATCCCTTGCCCCAGACCGAGAGTTCCTATCTACACCTTGTGGCTAATAGCCACTGAGGGACCTCTGCTCCATGTTTATCTAATTCCCTCTTGGAGCCATCCATGCTTGTAGCTGCCACCACCTCCTGTGGCAGTGAATGGTCATTCACTCAGCCCCATCTACCTCACAGGGTGTCTGTTGTGAGGAAGGGAAGGGAAAGGAGATTGTAAGACACTCTGAGACTCCTTCGGGTAGTGAAGGGCAGGGTATAAATCCAGTCTCTTCTCTTCTTCTAGACTGGAGTAACTCTGTATAGGATTGCTCTGTTGAATGTGTATAAAGCTGATACAGCTTTGTAGCACGGATCTGTCAGAATAAGGGAATAGTCAATCATAGGACCGCCCTCCCCAGTAACCAGCTAGGACTGTTTCGGACACTCTACCTTGGGGCCAAATGGGTGGGATGAGTGGATCCCTTTATTCCCTGAGAATTATAAAGCGCCTCTGAAGTGTTCCAGCCCTGCTGTGTTTGCGGTTTCTTTTGCTTTCCCAGGTTGGAGTGTCACCTCTCGTCTTCTACGATGACCAAGTGGCTCCGTCGGGATTGTGTGCCAGCTGCGGCTCTTCTTCCCCCAGGATATGTCAGGAAAATAGCGTCTCCACCTTCACTCCTTGTCACCTTGATACGGACCTCCATTGGAATGCGCGGCCTCCCAGAGGTGGCTCATGGGACTTCTCCAAAGAGGTAACGGATGTCCTATGTGGGATTCAAGGTTGTCGATATCCAGGTGGGGCCTGGAGATCTCCCAGAATTACAAGCCTTCCCCGGGCAGCAGAGTTCAGTTCCTATGGAGAAAAGGGCTGCTTTGGAAGGTTGGGCTCTGTGGCATTCTACCCTGCTGAGGTCCCTCCCCTCCCAAACCCCGCCCCCCAGGCTCCACCTGTAATGATTCCTTGTTTTATGAGTGTGTGTGTGCCTTTAAATGCTTGGTTGGAGTGCATGGTGAGTAGACTAGAGTGATTGAGAGAGACAGATGTGCTGTGATTGGTGGATGACAGAGTGTGGGACGGATTTTTGAAGTGAATCTGTGTGGGTGTGTCAGTTATGAGAGACAGTTGGAAATCAGTTGGAATTGTTCAGTTAGAGAGTTAAGTCAGTGAGTGTTCAGTTAGTTCTGAGTGAGTTCTTAAAGAGTGCAGTATATATGTCCTTAGCCTGCGTGGCTGACTATAGGAAAGGACAATAGCAAAGAGTGACTCCTGTTAATGTTGGAACTCAGCGTCAAAACAAACAAAAAGTAAAGGAAAAAAGACTGTGTGTGTGATACATTTGATAGACATATTTTCAAATCCCTTTATCCAAGATAGTTACAGAATAACCAACCTCATATTTTGTTCTTACTTCAATAAATCATCTTTTGTTCAAGTTTATCCCCGAATTTAGTTCTATCTTTCCTCAGGACCACATAGATCCCTGAAAAGCCCCGACTCTAGGTCACCTAACCAGCAACAGAAACAGAGAGAAGGTTGGAAATCCTTAAATTCCTGGTGGCAGCAGAAACTACCATGTTTACAAAAGCAAAGAGCACATTTAAAGGGAAAAACAGTCCTCCCTAATACGAGGACGCCACACCACCCCCAAAGTCTCCAGGTATTTCCCAAACCAGAGTTGGCAGCCCGAGTGGAATTCCAAGTACAATGCCCGGTCAACACAGCAGGCCCGTAGCCAGGATTTTTAAAGTCAGGGGCTATTTAAATTTCTTAGGGGGCACTGGCTAATAAAATTAATCCGGGGGCGAAGGCCGTGATGCCCTGGGCTGGATGAGAAGTCAGGCGGCCTTGCCAGCAAGTGGGGGGAGGCTAGCCCCAAGGTGCCCCACCGTAGCTACGGGCCGGCAACACAGACAGATTAATCCAATCAGACACAACTATCTGTGCCTGTGGCCATCGCTGCATCCTCCGGCAGCAAATTCCGCATTTTAATCACTCGCTGCCTAAAGAAGTGTTTCCTTTCGTCCATCCTTCCTGCGTTTTACGATACTTTGACCTTTGTTCCACACAGGAGCAGGACGGACTGAGCCAGCCCTTCTAGGGCCTGCTGCTTCATCGCTACCACAGGCACCTCCGAGTCCCAGTCTTTGCGCAGGCTCCCGTTGGTGGGAGAAGAAAGCACCTTTTGCACAGATGCTGCTGACGTTGCACTTTGATTCCTCCCTGGGCTGACTCTTCCTGTCCCTCGGCTTCCCCCGTGATGACTCCATCTTCACACTCCGAAAAAGCTTCGTGTGGATTCTTAACAACAGGACTTTGGATTGAAGCTGGGTGGGGGAGGCAGTGGAGAGCAGGAAGCGACAAGACTCCTAAAAGAAGACGGCCCTTTTAGCTGTATTTGCGTTGCGAAGATGCCCGCATCTCATTTTGCAACACAGAATGTAAGAGAAGCCAATGTTGGGTCAGGCCAATGGCCCATCCAGTCCAACACTCTGTGTCACACAGGGGCCAAAAAGACCAGGTGCCATCGGGAGGTCCACCAGTGGGGCCAGGACACTAGAAGCCCTCCCACTGTTGCTGCCCCCCAAGCACCAAGAAGACAGAACATCCCTTGCCCCAGAGTTCCTATCTACACCTTGGGGCTAATAGCCACTGATGGACCTCTGCTCCATAGGCTTATCCAGTTCCCTCTTGAAGCCGTCCATGCTTGTAGCCGCCCGCCACCACTTCCTGTGGCAGTGAATTCCATGTAAACTTTCCATGTCATTCCACGTAAACAGAGATGAACTTTCTCTCCTCTAAGGTTGCCAAGTCCCCCCTGGCCACTGGTGGGGGGCGCGAGAGTAGGTTTCCCAGATCTGGGTCAGGAAACTCCAGGAGATTTGGGGATGGAGCCTGGTGAGGACAGGGAGGTCATTGGGGCACCATGTTGTAGAGTCCACCCTCTAAAGCATCCATTTTCTCCAGGTGAGCTGCTCTCTGTAAAGTCTGGAGATGAGCTGTAATTCTGGGGGGGATCCCCAGGTCCCACCTGGAGGCTGGCATCCCTGCTCTCCTCCCATCATAGACTCATAGAATGTCAGAGTTGGAAGGGACCCTGCAGGTCATCTAGTCCAACCCCCTGCACTCTGCGGGAGCACAGCCGAAAGATAGCCCTACAATATATGCGAAAGATGGTCATCCAGCCTCCGCTTGAAAACATCCAGCGAAGGAGCATCCACCACCTCCCAAGGCAGACTGTTCCACTGCTCAACCACTCTTACAGTCAGGAAGTTTCTCCTGATATTTAGCCGGTATCGACTCCCTTGTAATTCCCACCCATTAGATCTAGTCTTGCAATCCGGAGCAAGAGAGAATAGATCTGCTCCATCTTCTACATGATGGCCCTTCAGATACTTGAAGACTGCATTCATGTCCCCTCTAAGCCTTCTCTTTCCCGGGCTAAACAGACCCAACTCTTTCAGCCTTTCCTCGTAAGACTTGGATTCCAATCCTCTCACCATCCTGGTCGCCCTCTTCTGGACACGCTCGAGCTTGTCAACATCCTTCCTAAAATGTGGTACCCAAAACTGGACACAGGACTCCAGGTACTGTGAAGTACTGTCAAGTTTTAGTGGGAGTAATTCTACCCCCCCCCCCAGGGATAACTAATGCCTGTTCTTTGCAACAGAGATTAATAAGGGAGAGATCAGTGCTGCTGGAAGCAAAAGCTCTTCTCACAAGCCTGAACAAACTCTGAGTCCAGTGGCCCCTTTATGACCCACAGAGTATAAGCTTTCGTGCACCTGCATACTTCTTCAGAACTCAACTCAAATTTGATTCACACTTTGTCCCATTCAGGGGTCATTCCGTAGAAAAAGAGCTAGGGGAACTCATTAGCATAACTCATTAGCATATGCCACACCCCCTGACATCACCGGAAGTGTGTCATAAGGCCACACACCCCGCCCCCAATGGTACCGGCCGCCGCCGCCGGCCTTGCAGCTCCACTGCCGAGCCCCATGAGGGGCCCAGCGGTGGACCTGCAAGGCCGGCGGGAGTGCAAGGAAGCCCCGCCAAGGCCCTCCCTGGCCCCAGGCAGGCAGGGGTGGGGAGAGGCGGAGAGGAAGCAACTTACCCTCCCTCTTCTCCTGCCTCCTCCTGGCTGAACGAAGGCCGGAAGTGGGGTGGCCGGAAGCAGGGGGAGGGGCTTCGTCATGTGCCTCACCCCCCGTACCTCACCCGGGGGAACTGCGATCCCCCGCTTTCCCCCCCGAAATGACCTCTGGTCCCATTGCTTCTGAACAATCACAGATCTGAGTTACGCAAGGGAGGGGATTTGGTGACCGAAGGAAAGGCACTCCGTCCCTTCTTAGAGGCACACACTTTATTATACGAAGGCTTTCACGGCCGGAGTTCATTAATTGTACTCCATCTTTCTGTGTTATACCTCTGAGGATGCCAGTCCCAGCTGCCGGTGAAACGGCAGGTCCTACAATGCCAAGACCACGGCCGTGCAGCCTGGAAATTCTACAACAAACCAGGGCTCTTTTTGTAGAAAAAGCCCAGCAGGAACTCATTAGCACAATAGGCCACACCCAACAGCAGGAACTCATTAGCATATTGGGCCACACCCCTGCCAGCACAGCTCATTAGCACATTAGGCCGCACCTCCGTGTTACCAGAAGTGTGGTCATCCAGCCACACCCACCTTTTGCTTCTTGTTCTGTTTACCTTGTTTGTTGTCCAAACCCAGGGCCTTTTTTTGGAGCAGGAACTCCTTTGCATGTTAGGCCACACACCCCTAATGTAGCCAATCCTAATGAGTTTCTGCTGTTGGGTGTGGCCTATTATGCTAATGAGTTCCTGCTGGGCGTGGCCAACTTGGGAGCCAGCCGGAACTCCGTTCCTGTGCGTTCCTGCCCAAAAATAGCCCTGAAACTAACACCCTTTGTTATCACTTTGCGCGGTCCTGAGGCTGAGCAAAGTTCAAGTGGCAATGCTAAACCGTGTGGAACGATACGCTCTGGCAAACGCCCCTTCAGATCTCCAGTGGGTTGAGTCCAAACTCCTTCAGCCGGTCCTTATACTCCAGGTGGAGGGCCGTTGCCTCTTCCTCCCAGCCAAGTTTGGCAGCCTCCAGCTTGGACAGCAGAAGGTCTAAGCTCCCCTGCAGAAAGAAAAAAACACTAATGGCAGTGAGGGGAAGGAGTGTGCGGGAGAGATGGGATGGCCAAGGCCAGGAACGCAACAGAACGGAGCTGGTGCAGGATTGTTTGTCAGAGACTGTTGCTTTGCAGGGTGTGCTGCTTTTAGAATGTCAGTCGCAAAGTGCCCGTTGTCGGTCAAACAATTAATGTCCAAAATAATGGTTGGCCAGGTTTCGAATCACAGGGGACATTTATTTTCAGGCCCATGCATTGAAAGCAAAATCCCCTTTGCAAATAAATTTTTTAAAAAGGATGGTCTACCTCGCCAACTTGTGTGAGCGAGGAGAAATAGGTCCTTTCCGCACTTGGATCTCATCCCTGGTTTTATCAGAGTTCAACGTGTGACAAAATACCTTGCATTTATCCCTGGTTATAACAGTCCTTTCTGTCATGCCTGCCCTTGACTCAGCCCCAGAGCCAGCTCCTGACAGCCTAAGAGGGGAGGATTCAGTGCCTTTAAGAGCTGAAGAAGCATCAGGATCTGCACCTACTGTAAGTACTGAGGAGGATACACAGCAATCTGAGTCAACTACAGGACAGTTTGCATCTGGGATTGAGCAGGCCATAAGCAGCTCACCACCTGCATCTCCCCCACCTGTAAGTAGGCTTAGGGATCAGAGACGTCAGGAGCTGGCTAGCCGACGAAAAGAAGCACGTTCAAGAGGGCGGAGATCCTTGAGCCCTGAGTTTTAACAGCAGCCAGGACCTCGCACAAAGGTGCTAATGAGTTAATGGGCCAGAGCACTATTTAGTAGGGCCTCTGGCCATGAGCAATTTGTGCTGGCAACCTCGTTCGTAGAACCAGAAGCTCTGCACCTTGACTCCTGTTTGACTCGGTGGCTGTTTGCCTCGGCTTGTGTTTGGACTGCTCTGGCTCCTGACTTCCAGCTTTGAACCTGACCACGCCCTCGGCTTTGCTCCCTATACTCTGACCTCTGGTAACATTTGACTACGGCTTTGTCTGGTGTTTTGGGACTTGTTTAATGCTCTGCTGACTGCTCTCCCGGCTGACCTTTGGACTTGTATTGTGACTCCCCCTGTCTGCCTGCCTCCCTGGGTCTACCGTGACACTTTCTGCACTAGACCTTAAATCCTGGTTCAACCCTGTCCCTGAACTTACATTCTACACTACACGCGAGTTCAGCCCTGTAATTATCTCGGGATATTTTTACATCCTAAACTACACTCGAGTTCACCCCTCTAATTAACTCGGGGTATTTTTTGTTTCCACATTACATTGCGGTCACCCTGGTTTCTCCCCACACTTGTCCCGGGATAAATGGATGCTGTTACAACTAGGGATACATGCAAGGTATTGTGTCCTGAGTTGAACTCTGATAAAACCAGGGATGAGATCCAAGTGCGGAAAGGACCAACATCATCTGTTTATCCCGGGACAAGTGTGAGGCAAAACTGGGGTGACCTCAATGTGATGTAGAAACAAAAAATACTCCAAGATAATTACAGGGGTGAACTCGAGTGTAGCGTAGAATGTAAAAATACCCTGAGATAATTACAGGAGTGAACTTGCGTGTAGTGCAGAATGTAAAAATACCCCGAGATAATTCCAGGAGTGAACTTGCGTGTAGTGCAGAATGTAAAAATACCCCGAGATAGTTACAGGGGTGAACTTGCATGTAGTTTAGAATGTAAGTTTGGGGATGGGGTTGAACCAGGATTTAAGGTCTAGTGCAGAATGGACCATAGTCAGCCACTGGGCATCCCAAAGACACCCCTAGCGTGTGCTTAAGACATTTTCTGGGCCCAGAAGTCTGTGCAGCACGCCTTGTACATCCCGGAGATAAATACCAGCCATGTGTGGGAAGAAGAGTGTCCTCCACCCTTCGCCTCTGAGGATGGTACCTCACCGGCGGTCAGCTTGAAATCAACCCATCCCCAAACTCACGTGCAGGATTTTTTCATATTCAGTTTCCATCCCATCAATCTTGCGTTGCATCCTAGCAATCGCTTCTTCCTTCTCTTCCTGCATCTTTTCCTTTTCTGCTCGGCTCTGGCGCACATCCTCTTGGCAAGCAGCTGCAGGGCAGAAAAAAAAAGGGTGGGGGATGTAATAAAAGAAAGTGGAAGGAAGGCAGGAAAGCTGCGCATGTGACAGATCAGAGATATCTCAGAGGGAAGGAGGGTTATCCTGAGAATCTGAAGACCAGCTTTTGAGCAAACAATGGGGTACAGACCGCAACCAATGCTCCCTCTAAGATATGGAGTCTTGTGAGCAAAAATTCTACTTTGCGAGCTCCTGGCATTAAAGTTGTGAGCAGGCGATTTGGCGACCGCATAAATTAAGTTTGCTCAGGAGCCATCTGAGCGGAGACAAAAATGTGTGAGCCGGAGGCTAAAAAACAGTGAGCTAGCTCACACTGACTCAGCTTAGAGGGAACACTGGTACAGACCGCAACCCCACAGGGCCTGCAGAGTATCTTTACCACTATCTTTTAAGCCCAGCTGGGACGCTTTCAGCAATGGGCACAGGGGGCAGCTGCCCAGAGCCCATGGCCATCTTGTTTGTGTGAGTGAGGAACTTGATAAATCCACTAAGATAGATTCAGGTGGGGTCGCCATGTTGCTCTGAAACAGCAGACCAAGGCTTGAGTCCAGTGCCACCTTTAAGACCCACAAAGTTTTATTCACCATATGCATGGTGTAGTGGCTAAGAGCAGGGGTCATTTCGTAGAAAAAGAGGTGCAGGAGCTCATTAGCATAACTCATTAGCATACCTCATTTGCATATGCCACACCCCCTGACATCACCAGAAGTGTGTCTGAAGGCAACACCCACCGCTCAGGCTCCACTGGACTGTTTTGGATTGCTAGCTGTTGGGGGGGGGGGGGGATGGGCGAAGC